GCCAGGCATAGGCCAATAATCTTCAGTGAAACTGGAACTCAGGATTGTTTGCCTGTCTTCCTTGTTCCCAGGTCTCTCCTCCACCTTCGCATTCACTCTTTGCAGCGTCCTGCCCGGGGAGCTGTGTGTCTCAGGTAGAGGCGCAGGCACTGGGACAGAAATCGAAGGACTTGCTGGGGGTCACTTGGAGCCGGGAGGGAGTGACCTGAGCTGGCGCTTCCCCGGTGGGCTCCTCGCCCGGAGTGTGCCCACACCTGCTTCCCCTGCCGCCGCCTCCAGCACGCGCGGTGGTCCTCACCGGGCCCTCTTCTCGCTAGCGCTTGCTTCCGGCTCAGACACGTCCATCTCTGATGCTGCAGCCGCCTTCCCCCCCCATTCGTTCTGCCTCCCGGCTCTTCATCTAGTCCTTGCGAGTCAGACTCTGTTCCGCCCGGTCCTGACGGTGCTGCGGGCTCCTTTCCTCCCCCGCTGCCTGGGGGACAGCCTCTGCATCAGTCTTACCTCGACGTGCAAACGACCTGGGGTCTTCCGCAGGCACGTCCTGCTCCCCCTCGTCTCTTCTTCGATTCACTCAGCGAGTGTGTGCTGAGCACAGGCGTGTGCGGGCCGAGTTCTGGGACGAGATGGTGGACCCAGCTTCGGAACCAGCACAGGCCTGTGCAGACGGGGGCCTCTGTGCGCCTCCCCTCCCTCCCTGATGAGAGCCAGACAGCTCTCCCCGAGGCCTGGGGCAGATTCTAGGTCGGCCCTTCCGTCCTTGAAGGGCTGTAAGGACTGTTGGTGCCGCCCGCCGGCTGGTGGGAGCCCGGGAGGCACCTCCTGTAGTGAATTGCTCAGGGAGCCTTTTGTCCTGCAAGTCAGGCTCTGTTCCTCGGGTTCTGATGGTGCTGCTTTCCTTTGGGAAGTTTTTGTTCAAACTGATCTAAATTCTTTCTCTTTCAACCCTGGCTGGTGTGGCTCAGGGGATAGAGCGTCAGCCTGCGGACTCAAGGGTCCTGGGTTTGATTCCAGCCAAGGGCACATGCCCGGTTGCGGGCTCGATCCCCAGTGGTAGGTGTGTGGGAGGCAGTAGATCAATGGTTCTCTCTCATCATTGATGTTTCTATCTCTCCCTCTCCCTTCCTCTCTGACATCAATAAAAAATATGTATATATATATGTTAAATTCTTTCTCTCCCAGTTTTCATTAATCACCCGCCTGTCTTGCTCTGTTGTTTGTTTGCGGGGGTTGGGCCGGACAGCAGGCTCCTGGGTAGACAGGTTCCTCTTTCAAAGAATCGTCCTTCCTGCCGTGGCTCGTGCCGAAGCCCAGCCGTTCTGTGTGGTGCGGCGAGTCCACGCTCCTGGTCCGTTTCCTCACCTGTGAGCCGAGTCAGAGTCGCTCCTGCCTCGTATGGTCCTGGTGAGGCTCAGTAACTCGTGTCAGTGAGGCGTTAGCATTTTTTGAAGATTTACTTTAAAAAAAATACATTTTATTGATTTCACAGAAGGGAAAGGGAGAGAGAAACATCCGTGATGAGATAGAGTCATTGATCTGCTGCCTCCTGCACGCCCCACGCTGGGGACCGCGCCCGCAACCCGGGCCTGTGCCCTGACCAGGAATTGAACCCTGACCTCTGGTTGATAGGTGGATGCTTAACCACTGGGCACACTGGCCGGGCTGGAAGGTTTACTTTTATTATAGTTATTCCCGTTCTCCCTCATCCTCCAGAAACACCTTTCGGTAAAGTGTTCTTTAGAAATAACCCTAGTCTCACACTGATGGGGCTTTCTCTTTGTGGTCACGCCTTTCTCCCTGGGAGACAAGGTGAGCTTTCTCTTCCAGCCTCCACCTGTGTAGGCTGAGCCCGGGCGGGCGGGAGCCTCCTGGGGGCTCGAGCGCTTCCCCGCAGCCTGCGTGCACCCATATTGAAGGTTACGTCCCTCTCCCCGCACCGCCTCCTCTTTCTGGTTCCCCCTGGCAGACCTCTGTCTGTCTCAGTCTGTGTGTCTGGGAGCCCCCGCACAGCTCCCCTGTGCCTGGCGTGTGGGCCCAGCCGCCTGGCTAAGGTGGCCGCGCTGGAAGCAGTGGTCACACTGTGCGACCTCGCAGCGCGGACAGTGTCCACGTGGAGACTCCAGCTCCCACACCTGCACACAGGCTTCTGCACACACAGCGCCTCCCTCCTGGCTGTGCACGCTGGTCGTCGAGGGGAAGGTCGTTTCTCGATGGTGGGTTTGTTCCTGTTTGTGGGTGCGGATCCAGGCGTCCTCACATTCCTCCTCGTTTCCCCACGGGATCCTGAGGCTGCAGTGGTGGCGGCTCCACGTGGAGACTCCAGCTCCCACACCTGCACACAGGCTTCTGCACACACAGCGCCTCCCTCCTGGCTGTGCACGCTGGTCGTCGAGGGGAAGGTCGTTTCTCGATGGTGGGTTTGTTCCTGTTTGTGGGTGCGGATCCAGGCGTCCTCAC